CGGCCGTTCAAGGAGTTCATTCCACAGTGTAGATGCACCCTTGGAGTGGCATTGCCCAGCAAACCTAAAAGCAACAGCAAAATGCACCCAAAACTGGGGAGGATGATAACTTTTGGTCATAGAATCATAAAGTTGGAAGAGGTCATCTGGTCCAATCCCATTTTGCCATGCAGCGAAAGCACATTCAAAGAACTCCTGACAGATGGCCATCCATCCACTGTTAAAAAGCCTTCAAGGAAGGAGCTTCAGCCAGACTCTGGAGGCAGAGAGTTCCACAGCTGAACAGCTCTTCTTACAATCAGAAAGTTCTTCCTAATATTCAGGTGGAATCTCCTTTCCTGTAATTTGAACCCACTGCTCTGAGTCCTAGTTTCTAGGACAGCAGAAGACAAGCCTGCTCCCTCTTCCTTATGACATCCGATCCATTTTATGATCTGGAACACTTACAAATTTAGTCTAAAAGCCTCCAAGGAAGGAGCCCCAACTACACTCGGAAGCAGAGCCTGTCAAGCCAAATCCCAAACAGGGAAAAGCCCACCTATTGGAAGGTGCCTTTCTGCCCAGAAGAAGGGGGGCTCCCAACTGATGCTGCAGGAGACACAATGTCTTGTGTATTTATTTATTATATAGTTGGAAGAGACCCCAAAGGCCATCCAGTCCAACCTTCTTCTGCCAGGCAGGAAGACACAATCAAAGCACCCCTGACAGATGACCATCCAGCCTCTGCTTGTAAAACCTCCAGAGAAAGAGTCTCCACCAGACTCCAAGCAGTCCATATTCCACTGCTGGACAGCTCTCACGGTCAGGAAGTTCTTCCTAATGTTTAAGTGGACTCTCTTTACCTGTCATTTGAACCCATGGCTCCATTGTGCCCTAGTCTCCAGAGAAGCAGAAAACAAGCTTGCTATCTGCTTTATGTGGCAAAATTTCAAATATCTAAACATGGCTCTCATGTCTCCCCTAAACATCTCCAGCTCCCTAAGGCACCCTTCATTGGTTTCCAGACCTTCAAACCATTTTGGTTGCCCTTCTGTAGAGAGTTTCCACCTTGACAATATCTTTTTAGAATGTGCCCAGAACAGGACACAGTATAATTTCAGGTAAAGAGGTCTGACCAAAACAGAAGAGAGTGGGACTATGACTTCTCTTAATCTGGACAGTACTCCTATGGGTGCAGCCCAGAATCGTATTAGCTTATGAAGCTGCAGCACCACATTGTTTGCTCATCCTCGGCTTAGTGTCTGGAACAGCAGAAGAGAAACTTGGCCCCTCCTCAATGTGACATCTATTCAAAGGCATCAACATAACTCTTGTGCCCCCTTTCATCCTTTCCCCCCCTCCAAAGTAAACATCCCCAGCTATCTCAGAGGGATCCATGGCTTCCAGACCTAAGACCAGGCATGGGCAAGCTTCAGCCCTCCAGGTGTCTGGACTTCAACTCCAACAATTCCTAACCGAATACCGGCTGTTAGGAACTGTGGAAGCTGAAATCCAAAATACCTGGAGGGACCAAGTTTGCTCATGCCTGCTTTAGGTGATTTTGTACTTTTCTCATTAATTCCATCACTTCTGTAATATACAGCGAGGCAGGTCTATAAAGTGGACTGTGATCCTGGTGCTGCAAACTGGGGCAGTATTGAAAAGGCAGTGTTTGAAACTCCATTCTTATGGGCTGTTAAGAATTCTGGGAGTTGAAAGCCCAAAACATCAGGATGGCCCTAGTTGGCCCACGCCTGCTCTAGTGACTTCATCACACTAGAGAATGAATCCACTTTAAATCCGGTTTCTGCCTCCTACAGAATTCTGGACTTTGTAGTTTAGTGAGGCTGTTAAAGGCTCCTCCCTAAACTACAAACCCCAGAATGCTGCAGGAGGTAGCAACCGGATTTAAAGTGGATTCATTCTTTAGTGTGATGAGGTTATCTGTGATATTGTAATTTTCTCATTAATTCCATCACTTCTGTAATATACACTTTGCACATGTTTACTTTTAAGCTCTTTTTTGTATTTATACTTTAATTATTGTATGTTTACTTTTAAGCTTTTTTATTATGTTTCTATTTGAATTACTTCTAAGCTTGTTATTGTATCTATATTCGAATTATTATCGCATGTTTATTATTGTATGTTCAAATTGATATGTTAATTGTTTAAATTCATATGTTATGTTTATTATTATGTGTGTAATGCGGCATTGTATGCCATGGATTGTAAGCCACCCTGAGTCCCCCACTGGGGTGAGAAGGTGGGGTATAAACGTAGTATAATAATAATAAATGTAGTATAGAAGACAGACCCCTGGAGCGGTATTGTCCATCAAGCCTGGAAACAACAGCAAAACAGACTCAAAACTGGAGAGGAGACAGAGGAGGAGGATGACTTTTGGTCCTGTCAAGCTACATCCAAAAGCCCACCTGTTACCCCAGCCAGTCTTTAAGCATGAATTTTGAATGCATGTTTTGTGTTTTGGTCTTGGTCTTGTGTGATTTAATGAGTGTTTTACAGAAATGCTCTGATCTGTGTATTTTGTGGAACTAAATTTTAATGTGTTTGTAGAATTTTTATAGTATGTGTGTGTTTTTAACTGTGCTGTGACCCATCTTGCACTGTGGGGAGAGCAGGTAAGAAATAAAATTCTATTATTATTTGATACATAACAAGATTAGTACACAGTAAACAATATCACTATGCTGACTTTTGTATTGGAGGACACGTTTGACGCTTCCAAAGTGTCTAGGACTGTGTGGTGTATTGCAAATAATGCATATAATAATAATAATAATAATAATAATAATAATAATAATAATAATAATAATAAAAAATAATAATAACGCATGTAATATAATAATAATGTAATAATAATGCATGTAATAATAATGAATAATGCTTCTTTTGCAGCTGAGAGATGGTGATTTTGTCAGCGCCAATTGTTTATAAGTGAAGGCCAAGGTCTTTTGGCACTGCACCCAGTGTGCCCATATTATTATTATTATTATTATTGAGTTGGAAAAGACCTCAAAGGCAACCCAGTCCAACCTTCTTCTGCGAGGCAGGAAGACACAATCAAAACACCCCTGACAGATGGCCATGAAGTCCAACCTCTGCTTGTAAAAATCTCCAGGTTTCCTGTGGAGCCCCAATACATGTCTATCTATACATGTAAAAATGCTCTGTGCGTAATGAGTACCCTAAAAACAAAAGAACCAATGAACGAAATCACACCAAATTTGGCAGCAAAATATCTCACAACACAAGGAGTGACCATCACTCAAAAAATTATGATTTTGTCATTTGGAAGTTGTAGTTGCTGGGATTTATAGTTCACCTATAATCAAAGAGCATTCTGAACTCCGCCAACGATGGAATTGAACCAAACTTGGCACACAGGACTCCCATGACCAACAGAAAACATTAGAAAATTTTGGTGTTGTAGTTCACCTACATCTAGAGCAGTAGTTCTCAACCTGTGGGTCCCCGGGTGTTTTGGCCCCAACTCCCAGAAATCCCAGCCAGTTTACCAGTTGTTAGGATTTCTGGGGACCCACAGGTTGAGAACCACTGATCTAGAGAGCACTGTGGACTCAAACAACGATGGATCTGGACCAAACTTGGCATGAATACTCAATACGCCCAAATATAAACACAGATGGAGTTTGGGGGAAATAGACCTTGTCACTTGGGAGTTGTAGTTGCTGGGATTTATAGTTCACCTACAATCAGGGAGCATTCTGAACCCCACCAACGACAGAATTGGGTCAAACTTCCCACACAGAACCTCAATGACCAAGAGAAAATACTGTTTTTTCTGGTTGTCTTTGGTGACCCTTCCGACACCCCCTCGCGACCCCCCCCCAGGGGTCCCAAACCCAAGGTTGAGAAATGCTGCCTTAAGGCCATCCAGTCCAACTCCCTTCACCAGGGCAAGAAAACATAATCAAATCCCTCCTGACAAAGGGCCATCCAGCCATTCACACACACACACACATATGTATATGACAGATGCAGTACCAAAGATTTGAAAGGGACCCTTAAAGAAGGACAATGATATGTTGCATATTCCAGACTAGACAAACCAGACAATCTCCACATCAACACTGGCAAAGAAACAGCAAGAAGTACTGTTTACCCACGAGCATCAAGACATTACATATATTAGAAACCAACACTTTCTAATTACTTTATTTTCCAGATCACCAAACTGGGCCACAGCAACGCGTGGCAGGGGACGGCTATTATTATTATTATTATGAGTTGGAAAAGACTCCAAAGGCCATCCAGTCCAACCTTCTTCTGCGAGGCAGGAATCGAAGCATCCCTGACAGATGGTCAATTGTTTATAAGTGCAGGCCAAGGTCTTTCAGCACTGCACCCAGTGTGCCCATATTATTATTATTATTATTATTATTATTATTATTATTATTATTGAGTTGGAAAAGACCCCAAAGGCAATCCAGTCCAACCTTCTTCTGCGAGGCAGGAAGACACAATCGAAGCACCCCTGACAGATGGCCATGCAGTCCAACCTCTGCTTGTAAAACCTCCAGGTTTCTCATGGAGCCCCAATACATGTCTATATATTATATTGATATACACTCTATATAGAATCATAGAGTTGCAAGAGACCTCATGGGCCATCCAGTCCAACCCCCTGCCAAGAAGCAGGAATATTGCATTCAAATCACCCCTGACAGATGGCCATCCAGCCTCTGTTTAAAAGCTTCCAAAGAAGGAGCCTTCACCACACTCCGGGGCAGAGAGTTCCACTGCTGAACGGGGAATATATATCAGGACTCTTCTGGACGCAGCCTGGGATCGCCCTGCTGTCAGGACTTCCCGCTCCCGTCCATGACACGCGTCAAGCGCGCTCACACGTACTATAATAAAAAGTGTAACGCGCGGGTCTAGCTATTAGGTGGGAACTCGAGAAAAGCTTCAGGGGATTATTATCCCCTCCACCTTCTTCCACAGATATATATATATTTATGTTCCCGTCCGCTTACCATGGTTCCGCGAGGTCCGAGCGAGAGACGCCTCCGAAAAGTCAAGAGACAATAACCCGCCTGAGCGCGAGGAGGGAGCCTGCAAGGCGAGCCAATCCGCGGAGGCCGTGCTAGTTTGAACCTCCCGCCTTGACCAATCCGAAGGCGGCTTCTTGCTCCCTCGAGGAAGCCCCGCCCAGCGGCCCGTTTAACGGCTGTTTTTTTCGCCCACCCCAGCTCAGCCTCCCCCTCCCTCCCCTCCTTTTTGCACACGGCACTTTCAGAGCGAGGAAACTGAACAAGGAGGGACGAGCGGGCGTGGAGTGGCAAGGGATTGCGCCAATCACGGATCGAAGGCTGCGCAAAGGAGGCGGTTCCTACTGAGGAGCAGCGCTCTAGTCCAATGAAAAACGAAGACCGTTTCCCGCCCATTATTCGCCCCCCTCCTCGACTTGTTTGTTTGCTCTGAGAGCGTCTGAGGGGGAGGAGAAGCCTCAATATTGGCACAAACGTACCTCATGAAGGGGTCTAAACACGATATTTATGTCACACACATACGTTGCAAAGTGTGGAGCATATTTGTGTTCATGAGGTGTGAGGAGCGAACCAAAACAGTTGTATTGCAATAAAAACAAACAAAAAAACACAAAGTTTGCAGACTTGCTATTCTATTAATTTATTTATTTACTTATTTATTTACTTTGCTTGTATACCGAAAGCCCGTAGGCGACTCAACGCGGTTCACAACAAGAGCAAAAGTCAATCATAACAACATGCAATTTAAAAACCATTGACAGCATAGTATACAAGTAATGACACATCATAACACATTATTGTTACAATGTTTTCTAAGATCATAGTTTTCTAAGATCTACAGAGACACTCGCTGGAACACCTCGGCAAGCGAGAGTCCAAAAGTGGCAGGCTCAAATCCAGCACCTCAATCAATGGCTGATACCAAATGAGAGACTCCCTCCTGGGCACATAGAAGACTGGGCGAACTGGAAGGCATTGAACAGACTGCGCTCTGGCACCACGAGATGCAGAGCCAACCTTCAGAAATGGGGCTACAAAGTGGAATCCTCGACATGCGAGTGTGGAGAAGAGCAAACCACTGACCACCTGCTGCAATGCAACCTGAGCCCTGCCACATGCACAATGGAGGACCTTCTTGCAGCAACACCGGAAGCACTCCAAGTGGCCAGATACTGGTCAAAGGACATTTAACCAGCTACCAAACTCACAAGTTGTGTATTTTTCTGTTTGTTTGCTTTGTTTCTGTTAGAAATGTAATATAATGGACTGGTTGCTCGGACACGACAAACAAACAAACAACCAACACATTAACGTCTCATAACTAGAGTCGTGATCCAATTCGTCAGCCATAATTCCGTTCCTATATTCATCGTATTCATTGCGCTGTTTATCCGAACGCCTGTTCAAACAGCCAGGTTTTTAGTTTTTTTCGAAACACCATTAGCGAAGAAGGTGATCTAATGTCCATGGGAAGGGCGTTCCACAGCCGAGGGGCCACCACAGAGAAGGCCCTGTCCCTCTTCCCCGCCAGCCGTACTTGTGATGTAGGCGGGATCGAGAGCAGGGCCTCCCCAGAAGATCTTAGAGTCCTGGTGGGCTCATAGGCAGAGATACGTTCGGATAGGTAGCTTGGGCCAGAACCGTTTAGGGCTTTATAGGCCAACGGCAGCACTTTGAATTGAGCCCGGTAGCAAATCGGCAGCCAGTGGAGCTGGTGCAGCAAAGGAGTTGTATGCTCCCTGTGCTCCGCTCCTGTTAGTATCATGGCTGCCAAGCGTTGGACTAGTTGGAGCTTCCGAGCCGTCTTCAAAGGCAACCCCACGTCAGAGGAAATGTCCTCTGACCAGTAGCTAGCCACTTGGAGTGCCTCTGGTGTTACTATAAGAGGGTCCTCCATTGTGTATGTCATAGCAATGACGACTGGAACGGAATATGGATTACGAGATTGGTTTATGATTCTACGATGAGACGGCGCGGATGATTTAGTGTAATTATATGATTGTTGTATTATTGATAGTTATGCTGATATGTTGTTGTGTTATTGCTTTATTGTAAATTGTGTTTTTATATGTTGTACACCGCCGTGAGTCGCCCTAGGGCTGAGAACGGCGGTTAACAAATGCAGTAAATAAATAAACAAATAAATAGAATCAGAGTTGGAAGAGACCTCATGGACCATCCAGTCCAACCCCATTCTGCCAAGAAGCAGGAATATTGCATTCAAAGCACCCCTGACAGATGGCCATCCAGCCTCTGTTTAAAAACCTCCAAAGAAGGAGCCTCCACCACACTCTGGGGCAGAGAGTCCCACTGCTAAACGGCTCTCACACTCAGGAAGTTCTTAGAATCATAGAATCAAAGAGTTGGAAGAGACCTCATGGGGTATCCAGTCCAACCCCATTCTGCCAAGAAGCAGGAATATTGCATTCAAAGCACCCCTGACAGATGGCCATCCTGCCTCTGTTTAAAAACCTCCAAAGAAGGAGCCTCCACCACACTCTGGGGCAGAGAGTTCCACTGCTGAACGGCTCTCACACTCAGGAAGTTCTTCCTAATGTTCAGATGGAATCTCCTTTCTTGTAGTTTGAAGCCATTGTTCCATTGGCTGTCGTTCTTTTTCCGGTCCCAATTCAAGGTGCAGGTGATCACCTACAAAGCCCTAAACGGTTTGGGACCTGCCTACCTGTGAGACTGCATCTCCGTTTATGAACCCACATGCTCCCTTCATTCATCCGGAGAGGCCCTGCTCACGATTCCACCTACATCACAGGCGCGGCTGGTGGGGACGAGGGACAGGGCCTTCTCTGTGGTAGCCCCCGACTCTAGAACGCCCTCCCCAAGGACATTAGACAGGCTTCTACATTGGCAGTCTTTAGGAAGAACTTGAAGACTTGGCTATTCCGGTGTGCCTTTCCAGAATAGGAAACTCCAGCAATATGTCCCAGAAGCACTTTACTAGAGACCTAAGATTGTCAGCATGTTGCACTTACCCAAAAATCCTTATATTTCAACTGTCATACTCAGCACTTTTAATCTGTACCCATTTACACTTGGCCTGGCCTTAGTTTTATTGTGCTATGGTGTACTGTTTTTACTGTTTACTGTTTATTGCTTTAATTGTTTTTGATTTGCTTTATGGCTTATGTGTATTGTTGTATTGCTGTTTTATTGAGGCCTTGGCCTTGTAAGCCGCATCGAGACCTTCGGGAGATGTTAGCGGGGTACAAATAAAGATAATAATAATAATAATAATAATAATAATAATAATAATAATCATTGCGTCCTAGTCTCCAGGGCAGCAGAAAACAAGCTTGCTCCCTCCTCCCTGTGACTTCCTCTCACATATTTATACATGGCTATCATGTCTCCTCTTAGCCTTCTCTTCTTCAGGCTAAACATGCCCAGCTCCTTAAGCCACTCCTCATAGGGATTGTTCTCCAGACCCTTGATCATTTTAGTCGCCCTCCTCTGGACACATTCCAGCCATCTGCTTCTTTGGCCCTGGAACTCAACAAAAAAGCTCCTGTTTTGTAGCAGGTTTCCTATGAGGCAGGTGAGGTGGTAATCCTTTGTGACATTATACATTTTTCTCAGGAGGAGGTGATAGTTTACAGCAGGGGCCCACAAACTTTTTAAAAAGAGGGCTAGGTACCTCAAAGTGTTGGAGGGCCGGATTATAATTTGGAAAAAAAATGAATGAATTTCTATGTACACTGCACATATCTTATTTGTAGTGCAAAAATACTTAAAACAATACAATAGTTAAAACGAAGAACCATTTTAACAAATATAAACTTATTAGTATTTCAATGGGAAGTGTGGGCCTAGCTGCCTCAGGATTATCTTTTCAATTGTCAGGCAGAGTGCGGGAGCTGCATCAGATTGCAGATTTGGTGATTCTTGAAAGAGCAAAACATTCCTTATTGTATTCTTACTACCAACAAGCGGGAAAGTATGTTTTGGCTCATATACAAAAACAACTTGGCTAGCTTTGGTAAAATGCAACTTGACTAGAGTAAAAGGGCCAGTTCCTGCTCCATCTCAGGCAGCAAAATATTTTGTGTTGGTGGGACTGTTCTTAGGCATGTGGAAATCATCAAGTATACTTGTCAATTATTTTGCAACAAGTTATTATCAAATAATGTCAATACAACCAATAGCAACTTTATTTATTTATTTATTTATTTATTTATTTATTTATTTAACTTGTATACTGCTACTCCCAATTTGGCTTGGAGCGGTTTACAGAAGCAGATTAAAACAATACAATTAGCTTTAAAAATAACAATAACAAAACAATAGGTGGCAAGAACAGGCACAGTCAGGTTGTTCATCCATCAAAAGCTTGCTGGAAAATAAAAGTTTTATAGGCTTTCCAAAAAGCAAGTAGGTCTCGGATGGTTCGAGTTTCAACCAGCAAGACATTCCATAAATAAGGAGCCACAATCAAGAAAGCTCTATGCCTAGTAGATGACAAATGGTAACTTGACAACGAAGGAGTTGTCAATCAAGAGTACTGGCTATGATTCCCCTAATATATCAATCCAGCGGTATATAAGTAAGGTAAATATCAAGAGCCCTCAAAATATCCACAGGTCATATCAAAACCCATAATTTTGACACCAAACGCTGTCCTCAACATCTACATGAGGTTGACATATATAAGGCAGTGCTTCTTTATACGTACATTGAAGAAGAAGAAACAGTCCATGGTAGGTAATCTTGTTTTCCAGGGATTATTTTCTGCCTCTTTGTAGTGGAATTGTTCAGGGAACAAAGACTGTAAACCATTGTTTCCTTAGAAACCTTCAGAGATCACACCATGTTCTTAATATTACTCTGTAGTGACTGATTTTTGAAAGTCATTTATGCAAAAAACTATGTGAAAGGCATGAGAAACAGTTTGAAACAAACAGAATTGATGTTTTGATTCATGCGATTTGGAAACACTGAGAATTGTGCCCTTTTAAATGCCATCCGATAAAACAATTATGGGGAATGATGAATAAAGGAAGTTATGTAGTCTAGCGAGTATAGTAACAGAGTCTAGTGTATCCCCCTCAGCAATTTGCTCTAGAGATTGGAGAAATTGCTTTTTGGGGATTAAACTCCCAGAATTCCTCATCTAGCGTGCCCATATTGGGTGGGAGGGAAATAGGAACAATCCGAACACTAAAAATAGCAAACATTACTGACATCCTGAATGGCTTCTTCTTGACAGTATTTCCCCATAAACA